TTTTTAATAAATGGGGCTCCTTTGAAGTGGGGGTTCCATTCAAATGTTTCATCTCCAAAAATGAGACAATGTTTTCCACGTACAATATTATTAAAACTTCTTATGTCGATCGAGAATTTTTTCAACCAAATGATTTACTCTAGCGAACTCATTCAACTTTAATTCTAGGTTTTCGTCCCAACTTGATCCCTCTTACGATTTTTGCAAATACAAACAACAATTTCTTTAACATGTCTAATCATTTATCTCTAGTTTCTAAAGTAAACATTTCGTTACTAAATGTATACGTTTACATTCACTCGATTTAAACTTTAAAATATGAAATAAAGATTATAACAAACTCTATCTAAAGGAAGGTGGCATTGAAGAAGATATTTTGATAAGATAATATTTTCCTTTAAAAATATTTGTAATAAGACATTTATTCATTTGGAAACAATATTTTTAATTAGTATAAATTTCAATATGATATGACAAATTTAATTGGAATTGATTTCTCAGGATATGTTTCCAAGTTTTTAGTTACCTTTTGTTCAGTTTCTAAGGATGTTGCACAAAAAATATGCACATCGAAGATAAATAAGTCAAATCTAATGTTCAAATCATCATATGTGCATCAAATTTTCTAGAGAATGTATCCCCTCTAGTTATTTCTTCATGAAACTTGAAAGACTACGCCTGGTTCCAAAGTAGCAATACTCATTTGCATCAATTCCAAAGAAAATTACATTTCTTTTCGCACAAAGTGAAGCTCATGAATTTAATAAGTTAGGATAGAGTGGGCACAAAGGACGAAGGACTTGCTGTTCATCAATAGGAGATTGAAGACACTCAATACAGTGCAGCAGCCTGCCATCCAAAACGTCGTATCCCTTTGGCAAACAGGACAATTAGCCTAAGACAACAACACTAAGATGAACGTAACAGTGATTACCAAACATGACAGTTAACAGTGATTACAAAACACAAAGATGAACATAATAGTGATGAACATAACAGTGATTACCAAACACAAAGATGAACATAATAGTGATTACCAATAAGACAGTTAACCTAAGACAATACGTTCTTCTAAGATAACAGTGATAACCAAACAGTGTTAACACGACAGTTAACATGAGACAATACGAACATAATAGTGATTACATAACAGTGTTTAAGATAACAGTGATTACCAAACAGGACAGTTAATCTAAGACAATACGGAGATAACATTGATTACGAAACTCAAAGATGAACATACAGTGATTACCAAACAAGACAGTTAACATAAGACAACAACACAAAGATGAACATAAGTGATTACCAAACACAAAGATGAACATAACAGCGATTACCAAACAGGATAGTTAACCTAAGACAACAACACAAAGAAAAACAATACTTGCCGTGTTGAAGCCATCATAGGGAGGATGATTGTTGAGAGGAGTGTTGAGAAGCACAACAGCTTTGTGAATGGACATGTCAGGTTCCATTTGGTGCCTACTCCAGTTATATTCGATAAGCAGGTACAAAACTTTGTTATGGTCGATTTTCAGATGATTCGCAAGGTGAAAAATCTTTGCTTACAGATCCACAGTTCCAGGTTGTACATCAAAACGAAACTCTAATTTATCATCATCATCAAATCCCAAATCCTCACAAGAAAACAGTTAGATGTCAAACAATTAGATATACCTTATCTCCTACGATTAAGGACGCCATAATCGCCGGTGATTTCCTCATCTGGC